TAGTGTACATCGACAGCGCACACTGGGTTTAACTATCTAAAGCAGTTATAATTAAAGGATCATCCAGCTGTAGCAAATGCAACCTCATTATTGCATGGTGTTGAACCAACTGAATAGAAAGACAGTCTCTTCTACTAGGACTAAGGCATGAGCATTATTTCATGAATAAAAAATAATGACAAGGTAAACTAAAATTTAGAATGCAGTTATTCTTCTTTCCGGAAGAGGTATAGTTCACTGTAGAGCCCTTTCTAATCTGTGATCCATTTGGTTTGGCCCAGTTTGCTTTCACTTGTTCTTTTCAGCTCAGTCTAGCCAGGATTTGTTTTGGCTCGTCAAGTAAAACTCCAACTCTCCCCGACATACTAGCACATCACATCATTTCTCATCACATCTCTCTTCTTCTGCCTCCACTTACAATCTCATCTTCTCTTGCATAATAGCCACAATACATTATAGGCAAACCAAAGCAAGCAGGCCAGACGAGCCAAGTATAAGAAGCCATGCAGTATCTAGTGAGTGTATGACTCCATATCTCGGTATCTGTTGTGTTTTCTAGAACTGTTCCAAGCCGATGTGGATGAGTTCTGCCAATACTATGGGAGGAGAGATGCCAGTTTGTGTTTTCCAGATTTTCAACGAAAGCAATCACATCATCAGGATTCTAACTACTTGGGAGATGAGAAAATAGAAGAAATCAGCAGGTATGTAGTCTGACTTTTACAGTGTTTTACTGCATTGATTGCGTGATACTATGGAAGCTCTAAAGTAATTTTTAAAATAAGTTTTGACAGTGCCATGTGTTCTAACAAAATTAGCTTCTTGGGTTTTTTTCTATACCTATGAGAAGCAGGCATAGCTTTGGAACATGTTTTGGGTTCACTGGTCCATTTTGACATGGTCCATACTTTCAAACTGACATGCCATGCAATTTCTCCTGTAATCCTAAAGTTTGTACAGACTGCTTTTGCTCAGCTTTGCTAACATAATGAAAATGCTTATCCTGCGTCATTCTGTTTTCCTCCCTCACTGCAAAGGTCTGTACATCACAGAGAGCTTTGCCCTTTAGTCCATGAGGGGGATGCCTTTCATCTCAGTTTTCCCTAGGGCAGAAAGGCCAGAGACTAGGCACCTGAACAGCAGCAACCAACTTTCCGTCAAATAACTTCCGACAGTTACTGAGTTAAGGGCTTAAATTGTCTCTTCTGTCTCATATCCTCTAAGAAGTGTAAGCACATAAATGACAGTGAACAGGCTCCATTACTTTAAAAGAGTGGGAGAAAGAGCCAGAATTAAGTCAGCCGAGCTATCGACTGAGAATATGAGCTTCATTTTGGTGATTTAAGGCACAGAGCTTAAATGCCCTGTGTTCCTTGCACAATGCAGTGTGGCAATTGTGCACTTTTATGGTATAGGCAAAAAAAATTGTCATATATGTTGTCACTGGGTGGTGTGGATGATTATAGACTGATTTTTGCCATAGCACTTCATATTGACCTCTCTTATGTAGATTAACCTAAGTAGTCATGTCCACAGCCTGGAAATCTGCAGGGGTTCTTGCCCTCGTCTCACACTGGCACATTTGAGGGTAAATGTAGGTGGATGAGGTTGAACTTACTGGGTTTTCTTCTTTCAAAGAGCCAGATCTGACACACACAATTATTGCCCAGAAAAATCAATGTTTTGAATAAAGATGGGCAATGGCATTTTTCTTATAATATTTTATTGTTCTGAGTGTCATGAATTGCAGATAGAGTGCTCAAGTGCAGATGCCTGAAGGCAGGCAGGTTAAACAGAAAATCTATCTTTATTAGGTGGACGTGATGTTCAATAATCAAATAATGAAGTCCACGAACTGAGACACAACAAATACAGGGAAACACACTAGGAGAGTAAACAGGTTATAAAATGAAATAAAGTTAAACCAGGAGTAAACCCTCAACCTATAATCAGACAACTAAGAACATAAACTCGCAAAGAAACCAAATAAAATGTCTAAGAACAAAGAGTACAAAGCTTAAAAAAAACCCTCAGAGCTCCAAGACCCAGGATCATGACAGTCAATAAAATATGACAGTGCAGCTGATTTAGTTTTGCTTTGCATGTAAATGGATTTAGTAGTTATCAGCTAGGACACCTTTTAAATACCTACAGCAATAATTGTTTTTAATCATTGTCCAGGTAATGTATACTGTTGCCGGATATAGTGTATTATTCTTTTAGTTTATGTATGGAAAAACCCTCAACATTTGAAGCCTACGGCGTAAAGCTATGGAGGTTTCACTGCTTTCAGGTCTGTTTGTCCCAGTAGAGGTAAGGGTGACTGCAGATCTGTTCAGTGTGATCACCTTTGGCCTGTGATCAGACATTTATAGAGCATAATAGGTCATGATTATGAAAATGATGTGGATCAGTGAACCATAGCTCTTGGTGGTATTTGCATTTCTTTTAGATTATGTTCTGATAAAATGACAAGATATCTTTTTGTGAGAAAAATGTTCCCGTAGAATCAATGCCAAGATTCACTGAACTTGTTGAGGTGGCAGGTGGTTGCCAAATATCTTATAAAGACCCTGGTATGTTTTGGGGGTTATTTTGTTTTTCTCTTTCATCTGTACTGCTACCTGAAAGTCTTCCTGTTCTGTCTTATTGCTGGATTTACTGACATAGTCATTCTCTGTTCCTGTTCATATCTGGCATTAAAATGTGTCTTAGATTATTTGTTCACTGCTGAATAAATCTAAGTATAGAGATAGTATAGTACAGTAGAGTATTGAATGCACCCATGAAGCAGTCACATTGAGTCAGTCAGTCAGTCCATTATTTCTGGTGGTCTGCACAGCAAATGGCATCAGTTCTTTTAGTAGTACTCTAGTGATTTGCCTCTCCCTAGTGAAAAACAGCACTTTGGCAGAGTGAATTGAGTTGTTTACCTGCAGCTATCATTAACCATTTGTTTTGAATAATACTGTTGTGCAAGGAAAAATAAAACACTTTATAGTGTTTGACCTTGCTTAGCTATGGTTCAGCTCATGTGCTCAAAACTGGTCAGTCAGGGTGGTGGTTCTGGATTGGAATTTAGAGATAATTGTTGGTAACAAGTAAGTTCCAGTAATTTAGTAGTCCGTTTGCTCTCTGGTTGCAAGCAGAATTGAGTTTGCAAACTTGAGCCCATGCAGGATTCTAACATTTGGTCTTAGCAAGCAGAAATAATGTAGAGTACTTGTTTGTTTGCCTGTAAAGTGGGAGAGTGAGATCCGGTCAAAAGTGGTCACTCGATACGTATGCTAATGCCAAGTGTGAAATGACACACTTAGCACGGTCCATTTATGATCGGATCACCCAAGACGCATGTTGATGGCAAATATGAACAGGGCCCTTGACATTTTGTATCTCCCTTGTTACCCAGGAAACACAAACACAACTGCTACTGTGCCCAGGAGGTGTTGAGTGGTCTAAGGCAGCCGGTGGCTGTGGTGCACTGTGGAGATGGTTCCCAGCGGCTCTTTGTCCTTGAGAGGGAGGGAATTGTCAGGATACTCAACCATAACCTCGAGCTAATTAAGGAGCCTTTCTTGGACATCCACAAGATAGTGCAGAGCGGCTTGAAGGTAGGACCAACTTTGCCTCATACTGTTACCTGTGAATTATAGAGGTAATATGTTGAACTAGATAATCATAGTTGTAAAGAACAAGGGGAAAAGAAAGAAAGAAAGAAACATGGCTGAGAGTACATAAAATATTTCTGCTACATTTCTAGAGTAAGGAAGTAATACAACACATGTCTTCCCAACACAAAATGTTTTCACCTGTGTAATGAAATGTCTCCAGGCAAGGAAAATCCCTTGGCAGTCTTGCTTGCATACTATTAGTATTATATTATATGATTAGACCAAACAAGCAGTCATTCATTAATTGTGATTGTGCATTGCGCTATTACCTGCTAATTAAATGTACACAGTGCAAACATTAAGCAAACTGATAATTTCTGCTACCTCTCATTAGAATGGTTAATGGCTTTCTTAATCTCTCCCATATTGTTCCTTTAAGGGTTCCAATATTATAGGGTCTTATTTATATGACTACCACACGTGATAATGGGAATGACAGTTAAGTTTAAATTGTAACCTTGTTTATGCTTGTAGTTCAGTTAAACAAATAACTTCATATTAGAGGTCTGTGAAATCTTTTTTCCTCGTCCTGCACTCTTAGTGTAGTCATTGGGGTGTTATTAATACAAATAAAACCTGTAGACCTGAAAAGGCGGATCTATCCGCACCTCTGTAACATTTAACTTGTCTGTCTGACCATCTCTCTTGTCAGAAGAGGGAGGATGGCAGGGTAAACATATGTTCTACTTTTGTTTGGCTATCTGCCCTATGTGGGAAAAGTAAACATAGCCAAAGCAATAAAAAAAAAAAAGTGCACATGAATTTTATTGTTTATGTCTTTTGAACATGATACACTCTTTTGGAAATAGTTAGGCTTGCTGTGTCCTTGAGTTGATGTATTCTCAAAAGTATGTGTGCCGTGCTACGCTGATAGTTCTTGAAATGTCTTCTTTTTTTTTTTTTATAAATTCTCTATGGATATATCGTTTCCAAAGACACTTAATCTTCTTGAGATTTATTTTTATATCCGTAGAGCTTGGGTAATCACAGATTTTGAATTTGGTAATTGTTCAGGAATTGTTTAGATTGCATGAGGAGATGTGGTAGCTTAGATGTCTGTGGGGGGCACACTCCCAGACAGGAAGTTTATCCATCACGCATGCCTCTTGCTCCTCCACTGACAAGGTCCTCTGCTTACAAGGAGTCAAACGGAGCAGAGCATTTGAATATTAAGCTGCACCCTTTGGGATGCTCACCCCACTCTTCTCAGCTCTCTTATCTTAATTTACTCCAAACTAGTTGTGGATAAAGTCACTATTATGACAATTAGATGTGGCTCAATCCCCCTGCAAGCCCCAGGAGTCCTATTCTGAACTGTTGGCTGCCATAACGGTGCAATCCACTCCAAGGGAGGGCTAAGGTGTTTACTGGCAGAATCAACAGGATGGAGCTGCCTTTATACATAAAGAGGAACCCATGCTCTCAAGAGACAAGGCAGATAACGGGTTAATCATCAACCTCATGCACATGCTTTGATTGTAATGTTCTATGTTTCCTCTTACTCTTCTGTCCCCCTCCTTCCATGGATCCCTCGGTGCCAATTTAGCTGAACTGCACAAAAACAATACTACACTCTGGTGTGGGCTTCTACATGGCTGTGGGTGTTCTTAGAAATTCAGTTTGCTTTTAAAGTCATACTGTCCATTTATATATTCATGTTACAAACTTTCAGTTGATTATGTAACTCAGCGGGATCCTGTCTGCAGAAATCTATAATTGTTAAAATAATTGAAGCCCTATTTTGGACTTGTTGTTTGCAAAGAAACAATATAGCATGTCAAATCTGAGTAACTGTTGATGTCGTTTTTTCTTTTTTTGCCGGGGTTTGAGGGTTGTTTCTTAAATCTATTCCACATCCTTCAGGTTAAAAAGAATAGGGACCATTGGGTTTGTTATCAGCGCACAGTTCCAAAGCAATTATCTGTGATCGTGTGTGGTTATATTACTGTTTGTGGCATAGGTGCACATCAGTGAAGATAATATATACTGGGTTTACATCTCTTGCCTTTTTACATGATAGCTTTCCTCATCCAGATTTTAAAACAATAATTCACTATAACAGAGCCCAGGTGAAAAACTCACATACCCGCAGTTCAGACCTGTAAACCATTAGAAACACTGGACACTATATTAAGCAATAAATTGGGACAAAAGGATGGCCCCATATGCTGCTCCAAGTTTGTTTTGTTGGGGTTTTTTTTTGTTTGTTTTAATCTGTTACTGGCATCAAATGAGCATATTCTTGATTGTTTTAATATGTTACATTTGTATTGTTTTTAATTGAATATAGGTTTTAAGTTAATTATACAAAGATTTATTTTTATCCTCTCTATGTTTTACATAGCCCATAGGGCTAGGCGATTTGCTCCATAGTTCAATCATACTGTCTTTCTCCTGTTGGATTGCAAAGCATTGCTGCCAGGAAAGGATGGCAGAGGAGGTTAACATGCACCAATTAGGGCTGTACTCCCTAAAATACAATGTGTGGCCTAAATTCAGAAAACTCATTACACACTGGTGAGAGAGAAACACACACACTGAGAATTTATTTCTCAAATGTCAGTTCCAATTTTTTACACCTGTAGCTCTACTAACTCATCCACTCTGTTTAAAATGCCTCACCTAATTCCCCTTCACTCATCACCGTTTTCTCCCCACTTTGGTGGACCAAAAAGTTACATAGAGGAAGTATAGTCACATTACGCTACAGTTTAAAAATCAAAACAGCTGCTATAAGTATCCTCCAGATGTGACATGAAACTATGGCAAGGCAGATTTAATTTATTATGAATCACATAATAATAATAATAATAATAATAATAATAATATTTATTTAATGCATCAGTTGGAAATGAGCTAAAAATAGCCTTGATTGGTGAGTTGGCAAGCTATCGTTGATCTTTTGAACTTCATTCCCCAGCATTAGTATCTATTGGGGCAAACTTAATATCTCCAAAAGTTGATGGTGTTCATCTGGATGTAGCGTTTTGTGGGAGAAACATTTCGTCACTCGATTGAGAATGCATCAAGACGGCAAACTTAATAGTTTATTTTAGATTATATAGCTTATTTTTGCAAACATGGTTATGTGTTAGCCTGTTTACTTGCCAGTAACAGTGAACCACAGGTGTATTTCCAGTTGCGTACTTTTCATGATTTATGGAAAGCAATGCTTGCAGCATACAAAGATTACACAAAATTTTATAGTGCTTTTACAAACATACATTTGAACACTATTAAACCTGTCAGGAACCACAAATATCCTTGAACGTGTATGGAATTGCTCTCAAAGCAACCTATGAAGATGCAATCAGAAACAGTGTGCTAAAAAACTTTAGAAATGCTACTTGAGAGTACAATGCATGATAATAACAGTGTACAGATATGGGTGACCAGCATCCCAGAGCTAACAGTAGTCCTATGAATCACTATGCATGTGGGTGAGTGGGCCTCTCATAAAATATTTCCCTATTCAGCCAAATGATTCAGAGCATTGGTGCTGTCCTTGGCATCAGAAGATCAGAGATGATGGAGTAAAATAAAGCAGTATATAGTGTTGGCTGCTCTTGTTCAGGTTGTAGTTCTACCTTGAGCTTTGCCCATGGTGGAGAGGGCAGAAGTTGAGCTATATAAAGGACGTGTTTGTAGTGGAGTGAAACCGAGTGTTAAGGAAAATTTAAACTGTCCACTGCAGCCATGAATTTCTCATTCATGCATCCTTGATCTTTGTTGGGGTTTGTTTCCCACTTCTTCCTATTTGTGCTTATTCCTTTTCCTGTTTAAGTAAACTTTTTAACCAATCAGCATATTACAAACAAGTGATAGTATGCACAAAGGTGTATCTCTGTAGCCACTGCGCTGATCGAGATCCTATAATCCTTCCTTCTCTGTAGCTGAACAGCTATGCAAGTGGACACCACAGTACTATAAAAACAGCTTTGCACATAAATGCTGCAGTGCTCATATAAATATTGTTGGCTTTAAAAAAAATCATCATCTTTGTGTTTGATGATGGATTATATCTCGTTCTTGGTTAGTTGGAGTGGAATTTGTGCATGGCTTCTCGATGGTCCAAGAATTTAAGTATCACCAGCTGAAGGCATTGCAGTGGAAACTTGACTGTGTGATTCTTATTGCACAAGAAAAAAAGAGACAGCAAAAAAACTGTGTATGTTGTTTGTGAGGGAGGTACGAGCATACATGCTGCAGGTTGTCTTTGAGTGAAGGGTGTAGAGGGTGTTTTTGTTCCAATCAACTCTAATGGAATGTCTTTTTGTGGAGTGAGGATCAAAAGGTTCAGGGTTATAATGCATGAACCAACACATGTGTCACTGATGCTCAGTGACAGCTATCCCTGCAGAATTGGAAATTGCTGCATTTCTTGTGACATTTTCTTCATAATTCTGTGAAAATAATCACTGAGAGATATCAGCTGGTTGTTATCCCTGCACCTCACATTCCCAGGTTTATTTGGAACGATGCCACACGTTCCATCGAGCCAAACCCAGAGCTCCAGAGAACAGTCTTTGAGGGAAAAGTGAAATGCAGGGACAGGTATTTGTGAAAAATGAAGAAATAATACCTGGTGAGAGATCAGAACCCCCCTACTTTGCTTTGGAAGAATGATGGTAGTCATAAAAAAGACAAAGAAATTCATGGAAAAAATGTGTTTTAAGTTGACACAATGTGCATGGTGATTTGTACAATTTGACAGAGTCACTACAACAATCAGGGAGCTTTGAAGTACAGGTGCAGCATCTATAACTACGAGAATATAACTACATTGACTAGAGTGGTATCACTCTAGTCAATGTACTTGAATATCTTTATATGTAGGTGCATTAGAGAACCCTAAAAACTTCAGAATTGGCTTTACACCTAACAATATGCACAAAAATGCAGTTTGTACATTCTTTAAATGAGGTTGTTTATATAGTTGTAAGTTTTTGAACCATGCCAAAAATATCTTACCTACTGCAGCTTTGGCAGCAGTTTTAACATGATCACTGCTCACGATTCCCAGTTTGGCACTTTGTCTTCTTTTAATCAAGCTATCTCCATGGACCGGCTTACAGTGAAAGGCTCGCTGATGCAGTGTTTGTTTCTTATGGCTCTGGTGCTAGCTCTGCTGTCTGCCTGCTGCTGAAGGAGCTAGTCATTAGCAAGGGAGCTAATATTTCAGCCCATTTACCACTGTGTACCTTGGTGGTCCCCCTTTGGCTCCGGATCTAGGCCTCTTTGGAATCACAGCTTTTGACCCACTCCCTATGGTGAGTTTATTTTGGGGATGTGGGTCACTGCATCTCTCAATCTAACATATGGATCCAAAATTTCCAAAGGTGAGGTGGAGAATTTCTCTTCCCATCAAGAAACTTTTTGACACAGGATACTCACTGTGTCTCCAAGTAAAGAGTGCTGCATCCACTCCCATATAACTCTTGTTTTTATTTGACTTCAATGGTCTGACATTTAGTAGTACTCATAAATTTTTGCAGAGGAACCCTGCCTTTTGGGGTGGAGACTTATTTGTAAACCTTCACAGTATTTCACTTTATATTCAGATTGATAGACCTCCTGTGGCTTATCCTGTGGGTCTCTGTTTTTCCTCATTGGTACTTTGAGTAATACCTTGGCAAAGAGTCATCTTTTTACATGTGTATGGAGCCTGTGTTTGGACTGCACTGGGTCCAGTGCAGTGTGAACCGAACTAGTAGATCCAGTATACCAGTTTATGTTTTTCTTGTCCTGTTAAATAAACTACACCTATCCAGAAAAGTGCCACTATAGTGCAAACAAATATTTATATGTATATATTTTTTCTGATTTTCTTTCTCATTGTTACTGTTTTGAGAATGAATACCTGAGGAATATGAGTGCAATATCAGTGCTTTTGTAGTAACTGCAGACCTTTTTAAAGCTATTATTGATAGTAAATGAAACGCTGTTATATACTTGCTTAAGGATCACTTTAAAAAATGTTCTTAACACCTGAGAATTCTGCTCATTCTGTAGTCAAGAAGAAATACAGGGAGAGAGTAAAACATAAAAAAAAAGCCAACTTGACTTTCCTTGCCTGGGGAATGAAATGCTATAGCTGATTACTACAGCTAACTATGACGGGAGGACCACCAAGGTAGCGACAACTGATGTAGCTGCCTGCAGGGTTAGACAAAGGTTTACATATTACACAAGCAATTTAGATGTTTTCTAAACATGTTGCCAAGACAGTGGGAGTTGGCAGCTCTTTCCTTGTTTAGGTTGTCTTTTTTTCCTTTTTTACTCTACT